TGTGTGTGTGTGTGTGTGTGTGTGTGTGTGTGTGTGTGTGTGTGTGTGTGTGTGTGATCACGAGCTGCATTCATTGGTGGACCAATACTGAGAATGATTCCTGGGACATGAGTGAGCATGTGTGCAACGTCATGTGGTTTTTGTGGATAATCTTGGTTTATCTTTGGTTAAAAACAGATTTGCGGCTTTCTCTCTCTCTCTCTCTCTGTGTGTGTGTGTGTGGTCTCAGATTTATGTTTTCTGTTGGTGGACCCAGTTTTTTTGGACTTATAAATCATGTTCTCATCTAAAAAGACGCAACAACAAAACCTCATTTTTTAACGTGAGACAATGTTATTTTTTATCTCAAGAGTTATGGTACGTCCACACAGCAGCTTTGAAAAAATCTTGAAAATCTTGGAGCTGGGCGTGTCTTGAGAGCTTGGGGATTTTTTGCGAGCAACGCGACCAACAACCAATCAAATGAATCTCTCGCCCCCGACATACAAACCAATAGCAATGTTAAAGCGAAGTAAACTGGATATAAACTCCCCAAACAGGTGAAAACCTACCAGTTTCACCCACTGTCTCTGCCACCTCCCTCCATGCCTGGTTCCTCCGGTTTATATCCCGGTAAATAGTCTGGTCGTAAAGAACCGGGTGATTTGCTTCCGTCATTTCTCGTTTGGAATATGAGGAATGTCTCTCCCAGCTTACACGCGGTTTGATTGGCTAGCGCTTGTACTGTCAGATTTGCATAAACGGGATTTGATTGGCTGACGCTTCGACCTCAGCTTCAAAAGTTGAACATTGCTCAACTTTTGAATCCTGGAAATCTTTGCTTTGCTTCCCCACAATGCAGTTGGGCGAAAAGCGAGGCAAAGTGACGTCACCCCCATTCAAAGTCAATAGGCAGAGAAGCGTTGGAAGATTTTTTTAAAGCTGCTGTGTGGACCAGGCGTAAGAGTTAGACCTAACACACTTAGCTATTTCATCTACCTCTGGAACAAGCTAAACTAGTTATAAATATATGTATTCTTCACTGTCGGGTCATTCATTACTGGATCAGCGAGCTGCATGAGATGCTGTCAGGAGAGAGAGGAAAAGAAAGCACTTCCGCTCATTTCTCCCGTGTTCTTATCCAAAGTTAATGTAAACTTGAATAATGTACTTCATTTGAATGTAATAATTATGTTGGTTGTTTGTGAAGCGCCAGTGAATGAGCCCCATTAGCTGAGTTTTTTTTAAACATCACTTTAAATGGAAGATCCCCATAGGCCCCGCCCACTCGATCGCATCGGCGATCAGTATCGGCCGTTACTGATATCGGCGATCGGAGCATCCCTAGATCACCGTGATTTATAACCAGGATGTCAGTGTAATGAACTCCCAATCAGCAGTCGCACTGTGATCACACACAGGTGACGGCTCTTGGCTGCATCTTTCATAAACTAGGTGACATTTTAGGTTTGATGTTCGATTAGGAATAAAAGTTTCTATTGATCAGATCATTAAGCCTAAAAAGGATGCATAATAACTCAAGAGTCCATGTACACATTGTTCACATATTTAACTTCCATCACAGCCCAGGAAGAGGAGGAAGAGGAGGAGGATGATGACGAAGACGAAGAAGAAGAGGAGGAGGAAGATGAAGAAGAGGAAGAAGAAGAGAATAATCTGAAGAAGATGGAGAAACAAAGATCCCAGGGAAAGGTAAGAGACGTTTGACCTCTTTTCCTTTGAACTGGTGTATTTTCCCGGTCACACGAAGGCGTGGTGTTTCATCAACTCGTCTCTGTCTTTTAGAACCTGTCGGTCAAAGTGACAGCTGGGAAAGTGAAGGTGGAAAACCCAGAACGCTTGGAGCAGGAGGAGAAGGCCGAGGAAAAACGTCTCGCCATCATGATGATGAAGAAAAAGGAAAAGTACCTGTACGACAAGATCATGTTTGGAAAAAAGAGAAAAGTCCGAGAGGTACGTTCAGTTTTTATTATTCATTTAATATGTATTGAAATAACTTTAGAGCCTTTCAGTATCTGACTCTCTTTTAACATTATTCTAGTGTGCAGAGTATATTCGAGTTTGAGTCTAAATCTCTTTTGTTTTCTCTTACAGGCTAACAAGCTGACTGCCAAGAGGAAGGCCCACGATGATGCTGAAAAATCCAAGAAGAAGACAAAGGCCAACAAATGAATCGTCTGATCGTGTATTTAGCAGATTGACTTTGTGTATTTACATTCTATTACAGGTTGAGATTTCCTGTATTACCTGTAACCCTGTGTGTGTGAGTTTGATGCACCTGATGCGTTGACCTTCAAGTTGAAGAAGAAATGCAGGATGTGGCTTATGCTCATTGTGTTATTAATAAAGAGCTGTTTTACATTACACAAGATATTTCTTCCACTTAGTTGTTAAAGCTGTTCATGTAAATGGTCTTTATTTTAAAGTAAAAACACAAATAAAAAATCCTGTTACTTGTGATCTTAAAAAATGATAAATGAGGTCTAACTGTTACGTGGCGTATTCCCCAAGTATTATTACGCTGTTACCAGTTAAGGCTCGGAAGTGTGTTTTGTGCTTCATCTCCTTTATAGTTTCTTACTTGAGGAACTATCTGAGAATGCCCTGGCTCACTCTTTGGTAGCCTTAACAGCTCTGATGTAGAAGAGTGAAGACACAGTGCTCGAATATATGAAGCCTTACCTCCTCCACAAATATAGACATTAGGAGAGGAGGAAAATAATTAATGCAAGATAAGTTTATTTTTATAGCTCCTTTCAACACAAGGCAATTCAGAGTGCTTTACAAAAATGAAAGCCATTCAGAAAATGGCATTTAAAAAGCAAAGATAATAAAATAAACATTAAAAGACAAAATACATGAATAAAAGTTACAGTGCAGTCTAAGATATGAATAGTTCAATTAAAAGCAGCGGCAAAAAGAAAAGTCTTCAGCCTGGATTTAAAAGTAGTCAGAG